GTGTTACCTCATCTTAAAGACCAAAGATAGTAGATAAAAGTTTCTTTTTTTCAGCCTGCAGTTGAGCTATGATTCTCTTCTGTTTTTCTCCTATCTTACAAACCCCTTCACTTCTGGAACAAAGCTCTTTGTAAGAAATAACCAGTTCTTCATAAGAGACATCCTCATAACAAGAATATTCATCAAATTCATATCTACCAGTGAAGGTTGTAACATGCTTAGCAGTTTTATCACCAGGTTCACCTTTAGAATCATCATTATCAATCCAAGAAACAAGCAATCCCTTCTTTTGTTTCTTGAGGTGCGTGGGACATTCTGATCTAATGTGATCAAAACCCTCACATCCATTACACTTAATACCATTTCCTTGATTGGGCTCCTCGTCTATTCTTGCTTTTCTCTTAAAATAAATGTTCTTACTAATGTCGAATGAAATGAACTTGACATTTGGTTTTGGCTTCCTATCCATTATTTTCAGCACCTTATTGAGTTGCCTCCCAAAAAGCACAATAGCATTAGAAATTCCTTCATTAGTCTCCATGTCACATTGAACCTCTTCATCATCAGTGTTGGAGATAAAAGTTATGCTATTGTTCTTTTTTGCAGATCTATCATTGATAGTCAATTCAAAAGTTTGAAGTGACCCAACAATCTCATCCACTTTCGTGTTGCAAATGTCTTGGGCTTCTTCAATAGTTGTAACCTTCATGTCAAAATTCTTAGACAATGACATAGGGATTTTTCTAACTAGTTTCCGCTGACATATTCTCTCCCAAGACACTAGATGTATAGGTAATGTCAAGAATATTCATGAGAAATTCATGAATGCACTCGTCATCTTTCATCTTGTGATTCTCAAATTTGGTGGCGAGAAGTTGAAGTATTGACATTTTTACTCTCGATGTTCCTTCATGAGTGGTTCTGAGGATTTACCATGCATATTTGGCCACGGTACAGGTATTTATTAATCTAAATATATTTTTGTCAACCTCATTGAACAAAGCGTTCAAAGCTTTGGAGTTTCCAAGAGCAAGTTTATCTTTTTAGACCGTTCCTCTTCCGGCTTCAAATCAGCTATGTCATTCTCATCTTTGTCCTTCACCATAGGGTGTTCCCAACCTTTGATATTTGCTTTCCAAGTTTTGCTATCAATAGATTTTAGAAAAGCCACCATATGCGCCTTCAAGTAATCATAGTTGGTGTCATCCAAAATAGGTGGTGTGTTAGAAAATCCTCTTTTCTTGTCCATAGTACCAAAAAGTATCTTTCTTGGAGCTCACCTAAACTAGAATAGGGTACGTGCTCTGATGCCAATTGAAATTCTGATAACCGAACAAATGTCATATACAATGTCAGGAAACCAAAATATTGAATGCAAAGTTAGGACATCATAACAACACAAATAACAATAACAATGTTAAAGTAAATTACAAGAAGTAAATAACACAAGGCAGTTTTTAACCCGGTTCGGTGCAACTTCACCTACATCTAGGGACATTTAAGCCAGAAAGGAAATCCACTATAATAGTATTAGTTTGAAATCCTATGTAAGCAACCTCTGGTTTACAGCCTTCGCACCCAATCACTACCAGTGGTATTTCTATCTAAGACTCTCCTAGATATGAAAGTCCTATCACTTCCCTTCAATCACACAACATTGATGACAATGATAACAATCAAATAGGAGACACTCTCCAATGAAACAAAATTCACTCTTGCTTAAAAGCTTATGAGTGATTCACAATTACAACTCAAATATCAGTCTAGCTCAAACATCTAAGTGATACGAGAGTGGCTCACAAATAATAATGAATAGACTAAACCCTAATATTCTATCACATGTGCAACTCTGTTATCTCTTTAGGTTTAGAGTCTTCCTTTAAATAGCCTTCGAACATCATGGGCTTCGGGCTATACACTCAACAGATCCAAAACAAACTGATGCATAATCTTTGGAACAAAATCAAATGTTTCCTTAAATATTTGACATTCAATCTTAAGAAACAAATCTTCAGATATCTCACGCTGGAAACAAATCTTTAAAGAATCAAATCTTCATACACGCATCTTAGACCGCAAGATACGTAAATCAAATCTTCTGAGAATCTTAAAACAAATCTTCCAAGAATGCGAAAATCACTGCACGCCACGATGTCGTGCAAGCATGTCAGGACATCTTGTCCAACATCTTGTTATTTCACTTGTTTTAACAAAATGTTGCCGATCACAATACAATCAACCTAACAACCTCAATTGGTATCAGATCACCACTCAATGTGTATCTCCCTAACTCACAAGCCCAAGGTAACCCATATATTTTTTTATGAGTACACCTGAATTTTTTAGTGTTTTACCCACAATGTCAACCCTCGACCACTCTTTAGCATTGTGCCTCAAAGCAACTCTTGATATTAATCCACGCAAATTCTCATAAAATGGACAAGTGTGTGCATGCTCAACTTTATAAAAACTGTTCCGAAATGAGATCTTGCTTTGATGAAAGCAATTGAAATAATATTTCCAAAGATAATTAATTTACTTTATCAATTTCACATTTACAAAAATGTGAAATCAAAGTGTAAGGAATATGTTGTGAGTGATATGCGAGAGCCGATAGAGAAATTGCGGTATAAACTTATAAACGCTAGTGATGAGTTAGAGTACCATCAACGGTTGCAACAACTTGATCACACATGTGTTGACTTTAAAGATTCTTTTAATTATGTGAAAGACACATGGTTGATTCTTCATAGAAACATATTTATTGAAGCATGGATCAATGAAGTGTTGCATTCGGGCAACAACACGACTAATAAGTATGTTTTGATTTTAACCATAGTTTGTTTATCTTAATATTATGGGTACTGATATGTTTTTTAAGGGTCGAGTCTGCATATTGAAAACTAAAATAGATATTAGAGAACAATTTAGGTGATATGGAAAATGTTGGGAGGCTATGAATGAAAATCTCAAGATACAATTGGAAAATATTAGAGCTTCAATCAGTCTAAGTCACTTGTGGCCAAATTCTTACTTAGTAAGCGGTTGTTTCAACTTATCCAATACCCAACAAAAATTTTGTGTTTGCTCAGATTCCATATTGGCAAATGCAACAACAAATATTAACTCAGTTGATGTCATTCCAATTACTTCAAACAGAGATTGCTTATACTTGTTTTTCTTGTACGTATTTTCCATATTCAACACAATAGAAAACATATTCAACAATTTCACTGATTCTAAGTGGATCTAACAAATATCTCTCTTAACTTCTGACTCATCTTTTTTTCTACTCCAGTAAACATAATTTGAATCCTCTATCGACTTAAACAAATGTTGCATTTCCATTCTAGGACCCCTAGTGTCTTTATGTACTTACTCTTATGTTTATATATTTGCGTGATCTAAGTGACATTCTCTGAATCTCGCTCTTGCAAAAACAGTATTATGTGTCTTAGTGGAACATGATGTTTTCTCAAATCAACAAAATATAGTTATTCATCTACATTTAATCGACCTACAAACGAGTGACCTTCAAATCTATCAGGTAAATCATGATTGTGAAGTCCACATTTTACATCAATCTTTCATCCAAAAATATCTTTTATTTTGAATGGACAACCACATTTCTTATTGATACTTTATGTTTCACTATCTCCTTTGTGTTTTTCACATCTATTACAACCAAATATTACTTTGTCACTCCTTTTACTCTTGCCTGTTTTAGTATCTGAATGAGTTATTTTAACTATCATCTTATTTGTGATTCTAAACTACCTAATTCACCTTTTCGCCTCTTCTCATGTAGAAAAATTTGAATAGTTAAAAATATATCAATGTTATCTACACATCTGATTTTTTATCGCATACCATCAAAGAAATATTCATACCTACTAAATATAAATAAATAAAAAATTAATCTATAAAACATAAAATAAAAAAACTAGAGAACCGGAATTCTTATACTAAAGAAATAACAGTTGGTAAATAAATTCATCACCGAAAAACTTAGATGAAAGTTATCTGATATTATATACAAAGCGGACCAAAAAACATAGAGGAAAGTTATCCTAATGGCTTTACTGAACCAGATTACTGCATATCATGTTTTCCCGTTAGTGCAAAAATTATCAATTTCAAATGAATAGTAAAAGTTACAATAATAAATCAAATTAAAAAAAGATAATTTTTAAAATATTTTCAAAATTCCTGAAAACTCTAAAATATTTGAAAATTAAGGACCCAATAAAGTAAAAATTGATCAAATAAAGCAGAATTGCAAATTTTTGTACAAAGTCTACAAAGCTAATTTTATAGAAAACAATTAATGATGGAAACCAAAAAAAACACATTTTCCACCAGTAATTAAGAAGTCAATGCAAAGCCCACTAAAAAAACTCATTCAAAAACAGAATTAACAGCTGATACCATTCATCTACAATTATGATGTCACAAATTCAACAATATTGGCAGGAATACTTTTAACTGTGGACAAATTATAGATTGGATAAACAAATGTCTGCAATTTGATGCATAAATAGGATCGATACTTCATATGATACATTTCACAATCTGGTAGGATAAATAAATAACAATACAATAGGCCAAAACTGCACGAATTGCCCCACAGACAACCCTATATTCTCACGCAATATGGTAAGAACAAAACAAAGAGGAATGACACGTGAAGCTCCTAGCCACAAGTGCATAACCTCCTTTAGGACTCCATCGCACCATGAACACTCATAAATATACACATTCTACAGAAAGTTCCCTTTCCAATCACAATTGACTCTGCATTCTCAAAACTGAAGCCATGCTGCTATAAAAACACCATGCAATAATGAATGATGGAAACCATCTTATGGGAAAAAGAATGGGTAACAAAAAAAGAGAACACCAAACTGGAAAATGCTTGTTCCCAAAAAGTGCGAGACACAAACTGCCAACCCAGATGCTATGGGAGAAATGATGAATTGCGATCAGCAAAGCTATGCAAACTATGAAGAAAGGATGGATTGTAAAGCAATCTGTTGTTGCGGCTGCAAAGATGACCAAGTGGAAGCAAGAGTAGCAGGTGGTAATGTTTGCTGGAGCTGTCTGAGTAAATTAACCATTCTGCCAGCTGTTTGTTCTGTTGCAAGGTCTTTACCAGCACATAAAACCTAGTTAACACAAGATGGATTCTATTAGAAAGAAAATCAGCTTCAAGCAAATCAGGTATATATTATTACATAAGAAAACCTGGATTGACTCACAGATAATGTCTACATGAGACAAGTCAAGAATTGTAAAGTTAATCATTAACTAGTTGTATGTGCAAGGTATCATTAAATTGACATATAAACATCAGAGGCAATAAACAATAATCAATCTGTGGTACAAGTTAGGAGTTTGTGCAATGAATTCATGGATATACAGTTGCAATTCTGAATTGTCTACTAGAAATTAATCGTATCCAAGACACTCTTAATGCAATCAGGATCGTTCCTTAAATCATTTTGCTTGCATAGATACAACAACTATGCATTTTTTTACAAAATCAATTTTGAACAATGACTAGCACAAGCTTCTCAAAAGGCAAGAATTAGCACGACACCGTTTAAAATTATGAAATTCACACTAAAATCTGACATGTTTCATTGAGTTAACAATTCATTCACACGGTTGTCCTTCTCCGCGTGAATAAATTTGTCAGGGTGTAATCAAAAGGCATTAATATTTTGACAGACCTCCAAATCCTCCCAAAAACTTTTAAAATATTCATGTTTAGAGGCAAAAATATTTGCGCTCGCATTTCAGGGCAATCATCAAAAAATTAATGGAAATTTTGGAAGTTTGACATGTCATATCTGAAAATTGTATGGCCTATGTGATGCTAGTCATATGCCAAAAATAACAGCGTAATATTTCCGTTCAGTTATTTTTCGGGTAGCAATCATCATACTTCCACTTGTCACTTGGTATAACTTGGTTTTCCCATTAGAATTCCTTTCATCAAAAACAAAACTCTGCTCATTTTTTAGACTACCTACTCCTTAAATTCTAGCTTAATTATTACAAAGTAGCAAATTCATGTTGATAAACTAACCTCTGCAAACACTGAGACTATTTTGGGAAGGTGTTGATTGTTTGGGCCTAACAGTTCACCATCAGACCTGCAGTTAAATAAGGAAAATTAGAACTAGAACAATATGAAAAAAAAACTGCCAGAGCACATCAGCAAACTGAAAGGTGATTGAGCAGCTAACCTTTCCGCCATTGAACAAAGTTGATCGTGAACAACTTTGGCCTCAATCAAATCACCTTTTATTGGCAGACAGTTCAACCATGCTGGAACAACCTGGCAAATGCAGCGGGAGATTAGCAAAAACATTAACTAAATAGATGTTTTCCAAAAAAAAACACCTAAAAGTATAGATACTCAAGCCGTCACAAGAATAGATCTCTTTGTATTGTTAAACATGGTAGAGGAGTAAACATAAAAACAGGTCATATAAAGGGAAAATAGGCGAAGACCTGGGCAGAATCAATACTGTCCCGGTGAAATTGGCAGATTTTTCCCAGAGCCGAAACCGCATTGTCATATGCCATCACATTATCTGTATGAAGAGCATTAGGATGCTGGATCACAGCATTTAACCTCGATAGAGCCTCTGCATAAGCGACACACGTGTTACTCAATGTAACAGTTTTTAAAAATTCATTAGCATATTAAGCAGTACCTCCAACAAGAGGTTTGAACACAGAACCCCCAAACTCCGCACAAACACCAAGGCCATATACCGCCGCCTGCAGAGCAATGAAAAAATACCAATATTACCAATGAAGACACTTGGAACAATAAAATGGTATTGAAAATGTTGGGCAGCAAATAATGCTAACCTGTCTGACATCCGGAGTCTCATCATTACATGCCTCCAAAAGGAATGGGAGATACGTGTCATAATACCTGCTCAATTGGCAATGAAACACAATCAAATTGACAACTCGCCTAGATAAATATCACCACACATTAAAGTGGGAATCTAACAAAAAGAAGTAATCACTTTATAGCTGCTTCACGGCACTGCTCTGCAACATCGTCAAAAATGCAAATTGCAATCCTTCTCTCTTCAGGAGTCTTGTCCCTTCCCTATATCCAAAACAATAGATTAAAAGTCAAAACAATGAAATGTTTAATTCTTAAAAGAAAATATAGATTTTAGATTAGTCGACAGGCTGAAGACCTGTAGGAAATTTGCTTGAAGTATGATTAGACCATTCAATTTGGAAAATGTAACAAAACAAAGACGCTCAGCATATTTACAATTGAATGAAAGATAATGAGTTTTAGGAGTATAGAAACACGTGAGAATTCAAGAACAAGCTTGAAAGTGATAGAAGTCAGGAAAAAGATAGATGGAAAATAAGAGGAGCTTTGTGTCATAAAAAATGTTGACTGAAAAAAGAAACTGATTTATACAGATTATGCCACATTTATAGTTATGAGTCAAACTCAAAATCCCAACTAGTTTATACAGCAGGGCAGTTGGACTGAATGTTAGGCACAACAAATGCAAAATGTGCTTAGAAGTTCGCTAAATATGTCTCATGTTGACATATTGACCAAATAATTTAAAAATTTAAAGCAAGTATAAAAGTCATCATTTAAGTCAACTATAATTCTCATGGATGTGACTCAAACCAGGCGGGCAATCATGGCAACCTTAGAAAGGTCCAAGTTCAGGGATAACCGGATAAGCAACATCTCACATATTCTTCATGTAAATAATCTTTTCAGTTTACAAACTAAAACTGAGGAGACACTAACATATATATATTATGTATGTACACCACAGGAAACAAAAAAGAATGCTGAAAGACATTTAGATGAATAAACAAAATTTCGTACTCCCTCCGTCTCATAATAAGTGTCTCATTTGCACTTTTTCTATGTCTAAATAAATGTCTCTTTAGAATTTCAATACAACATTTGTTATTTTTTTCCACTAATATACCCCTATTTATTAGCTTTCACATTTTTCAATTACTCTACTAACTATAATAAATAAGGGTGTTTTAGTAAATGATCTTAATTTTATCATTAAAATCAACACATCTAATCATTTTCTTAAGAACGCGCAGAGCTCAAATGAGACTTATTATGAGACGGAGGGAGTATAAAATGAATACAGATTTGGTAATTTCCTAGAAGAACATACCCACATAGGTGTCAAATAAGATGACAATTCTTCAAAGAAAGGCAAAAAGGAGGCTTTGAAGGTTTTGATCAAGGTTCCCAATATCTCACCCACCTGAGAAAATGTGTAAATATTATTATAGGATGTCCAAGAAAAAAAGATAGTAGCCAAGTGCACTTATGATTATTTGAATTATAGCAAGAGGTACTAACTTGGTCAAAAACTTCTTCCTCTTGTTCATTTTCCTCTTTAATCAGCTCTCCCTCTTCGGCATCAAAATCTTCAGCTTGGGCCCTCTCTGATCTCTCTCGTTTCCTACTTGAACTGGCTGTGATCACCTGTTTTACCTCATCAACAATTGACCTGACCTGCTTCTCATCCAAAAGCATGCCAGAGATCTGTAAGAAGGGAAAAACATATCAGTGTGCATCCAAAAGAGATTTACATTAAATGAACAAAAACAAATCTGGAAATGGGGGAGACAAACAAAAAACGATTACTGTTTAACAAGCATTTCAGAAAGCACCTACTCGTGAACAATAATCAACTTAAATCATACACTAGAAATTGAAGAAAATGACAGCAATATTGCTTGAACAGAAAGAGATGTGCAAAATGGTGTAAACAATTTGCTGCCCCTTGTTAGTGAAGGCACATCGAATCCTTGCATAACATATTTCTTCCCTTATAAACAATACTAAGAACTATAATAAACAATACTAAGAACTATATAATAAGTACAAAGTGAAGTGCACCCAACATCAAGAATTAATGAGACAGGCAGTTGTTCACGAAATTTGTGACTACCTCAAGTGAAAAACCATTTAAATCATCTAACAAACCAATCATAAAACATGAAAAAACAAATCAGTTAAATTCTGGTTTCATATGCCAACTGACAATCAAAAAGTTTGGCTTATGCAGCATCAGTTGTAACATCAACTAACAACAGTGCCAACGGGGCTAACATGAATTGTTTTTCTATATGATGCTCTTCAATTGTGAGTTATACCATTAACAAAGACATCGCATATATTCAACAATCTAAATTCTGAAAAATAGAAATGGAAATGTGTATAATGAAAAATCATGAAAACGCATATAACTAAGTTATCTTGTGATCCGAACCTGTAGGCACTCATTTAATGAATCCAACATACTTGCACAAATCTCGGTGTCAGGTTCCTGTAAGCAAACAGAAGTGAGAGAATTTTAGTAAGAAATGCCAATTTGAGACACAACCAAGTCAGCCAAAGTACAGCACGGATATCATATAGATTGATCATGATTCTCAAACTTATATAGTTATACATAGATTAGAACAAGCATATTAACAAAATACACTCTGCACTCACCAAAGATTGCTTCGATTTATATGAATATTAAAAATACTTTGAAGTCTCAAAAGAAAAGACATAACTATTAAATTGTGAAAACCAAAACTAATAAATTACACAGTAAATACCTTGTGCAATGCTTCCACCAAAGCTGGGATGATACTGTCAGTCAGAAACTTTAAATAGCTCACATCCCGACCTTGAGATTGTCCTTTCTCAATAGCTAACTTTGCAGATCGTAACAGCTCTGGCATTGCTATAAAGATATTGTAAATAATGAACATTAGAACAGTTAGGATAATAAGATAAATCACATTAATCCAGCAACGAAAAATAACTGACCAAACACACACAACCAATCATTCACATACCTGAAACAGCAGCTTTTCTAACCTCCTCATGGAAATAAAATTTAAGGAGTGGAACCAAAGTTCCTGCAACCTACATCAGAAAGTAATTGGTGAGAAAATCAAAGTAAGAATAATGCTTCAACAACTTGAATAAGCAAATGTGTTCTAGTGATTTAAGTCTAACCTGGTCGATCCATGGAAAGAATCCTTCTTTCAGCTCATCAGCATAGCAACAAAGCATGTTACATGCTGTAGCTTTCTCCTCTAGAACACTAGTCTTGATTCCAATTCTTTTGTCCCCAAGAGTGATAGTCTCCATGCTATAAAACATCAATAAAAGTCAGATTTATATTGCCAAAGCCTAACCAAAATGCTAATACATGCTTCTGATCAGAGTTACTAATCTCGGATAACGGAGCGGAGCGGCCAACCCCAAAAATGGGATAGCGGGATAATTATATGAATAATTATATGAGAAATCATATATAAAAATAATTATATGAAAATAAAAACATAATATTTAAAAAAAAATAGTAAGGTTTAAAAGGCTTATTATTGTTACTATTTATTCTTTTTAAAAAAACTATTCAAAAAAATTATATTTATCTTGCACCTGCTGAAAAAAAGTTACTACTCGTATTATGTATTATGCATGTGGTAATGGTAGTGTGGTACAGCTAACACACTTTATTGGGTTTTGAAAAGTACTTTTGACTTTTCAACCCTCATTTTTTCAATTGTTTATTATATATTTAATGATTAAAAATTATCGGCCTCCACCCCTGTTTAATCTCATCTTCTTCACTTTGTCTTTGTCTCTCCTTTCTTCTCCGCACCGCTCTTCTTTCTTCTCCGCCGCATGCACAAATAAAAAAGAAAGAAAAAACAAAATCAGCCAAACCGCTCCACGCGGGTAGCGGCCCGTGAACCAGGAGAAATCGCCCGCGATTTGAATCTGTGAAACGCACCCTTCGGGTGGCCACCCCGGCCGGACCGCCCAGGATAGCGGCGATCGCGGCCGCAATTGATAACTCCTAACTCCGCTTTTGATTTTCTCATGATAAGCAATTGATGGGATGTGAGTACAAACAAGCATGAGAATAAAGATTTTGTTTGTGCCCACATGTGCAAATGCAAGGCAACTGAGAACAGCATAACCATTTGTAGTGGAGAGATCGTTTAACTATTAATGAAATCTAAGATAAAAACGAAACAGAGACATGTGTGATAAAAGGGATATGTCATGCACTAATAATTTGAACATTTATGAAAATGACTAAAATTGAGACCTTTCATCATCAGAATCGTCTATTTCATTGTCCGAATCAGCGGATGTAATGGTTACGTCGGGCTTAAGTGAAGCAGACTGAAGCAATGGTGGCATGACAAATTCCATATAAGGAAGGAAATCTTGTCCCAGACATTTGCAGAGTCTAGCCCATGCCTGTAACAAATTAAAGGAGTTAATACTGAATACACAGTCCAATTTCACTGTGTATAAGCAACAAGTAATATAAAAAAGCATACTTGTAGCATGTAACTTGTTGTCGGATCATCTGTTTCCATTTGAGATACTTGCAAGGACATAAGAACTTCCATAACCTAATAAAGAACCATCATATGTAGGATATTAAATAAATTAAATTTAAAATCTTAATAGATCTACCTTGTGTCTGTCTGTGTCTGTGTGAGAGAGGAGTTCGACAGAAATAGATAAAGAAAACAATAACGGCTTACCTGCTTAGCATCAGCCCTAAACTTCTCCTTCCCGACAGCCATTCCAACCAAACTTATACATTCCATAGACTTAGCGCGAAGCATACGGTTAGACTTATCAGTTGCATTGACCAATATAGCCTTCAGGTATGGTATTACAGCATCATAGTACTTCTGAAAGTGTTCCTGAGGAAGATCATAGCATAAAATGAGTAATCTAAGGAAATAAAATTATAAATGTTAAAGAATGGAGTTCATATAAATACCTGAGATGAATCAGCAACTGATGCCAAAGCAGTTAAGGCTCCCTCTTGCACCATTTGTTTACCATTCTGAAAGACAGAATATCCAAATTTAAGTGAAGGGCAATGATAATCATGTACAACGATTCAGCAAATTACCATAGTAATAGTCAATGTTGTTATCAAGATTGAGATCTACACTAAGATTGGGAGGGGGTAGCAAGATAACAACATATAAGATCGCTACTAGGATTGCAAGATTCTACTTAAGTACCAAGGATCAGGAGGAAGTAGCATGATTGCAAAAATTAATATTGTAACTAAGATCTCAGAACCTGAGATCATAACCAATCAATTTCTTACCAAAATAAAAAATTGCATACATCATATAAACTAAATTAACCTTTTTCCATTTAGATATAGTTGATTTAAGAAAATAAGACAATTACTTGTAAATAAAGAAGTATAGTATGAATTGAATTATAAAAGATTGTTTTGTTTAATTGATTTAATATAGTTAGGGAATATTTTAATCAATGTAGAACAGAACATGACAGTAAAAAATAATTAAACATTCCCTTTAATTTATTTAAAAAATAATTAGTAATGAATTAACTTCATGAATAAAACAGCCCAAACCAACTTTAATGTAGAACAGAACAAGGCAGGAAAAATAAAAGATATATAAAACGTTTTATAAAAGATCCATTCAGTTTTTGAATGGAGTCAGACAACAAAATGGTAATAGTAATGAGTTGGGCCTAAAATAGCCCAATATCCTTCTCTCAAGATAGAAACAACACCCAAACTTTCTTTTTCCCCAGTCAACTAGTGAGGACCACTTTGCGTGCATCCCGCAAATGAGTTTTCTGGTGGCGAGTTAAGATTGCGATCTAACCATTTTTGAGATTTTTCGCAATCACACTTCAATCGCAGCGGAATACATTCTGCATGCAATCTGGATCACCGGGCTAAAGTGAAATCATGAAATCACCCTAGTCAACTAGTGAGGACCACTCTGCGTGCATCCCGCAAATGGGTTTTCTGGTGGCGAGCTAAGATTGCGATCTAACCATTTATGAGATTTTTCGCAATCACACTTCAACCGCAGCAGAATACATTCTGCATGCAATCTGGATCACCGGGCTAAAGTGAAATCATGAAATCACATGATCTTGTGATTTAAATCGCAATTTTGACAACATTTAATAGTAGCATTACTCTTGCATATAATAATTTTCTATAAACATACCTGAAGAAGTACAAGCAATTTGCTAACTATTCCATCCAAGTATGGCGTTAAAATATCAGGTGTACAATTCTCGCTGAAGTTGAGTACTGCTGAGGCAGCATGAGCCTGTGTAAACAATATTACAAAAGCATTCATAAGACAATTATGCAATTAAACTATAGGTGATAAGGCCGACTATAAAAAAAAAAAAAAGAAACAAAGACCAAAAAAAGGCACTCCACTCCATTCATAGGTTACAATATCATCATTTTATGGTAATGTGAAACTAAAAGTGTTATTTTCGTAAGTGTGGGTACTCTAAGCCAATTTTTAGTTTCTCCTCAACCAACTACAATACAAACACACATGTTACGTGTTCCAGGTTCCAACAAATATCGTCATATATGGTTCCACATGATTGATAAATCCATTTGCAAGGAACCTATAGCTAATATATGTGTGAGTTTAAACAAAATATTGCTTGCATTTTTATTGAAATCAGTCTTATAAAATTCTTCAAAAAAAAATGATATTATCATATCAAAACTCTATTTACCCATTGTGAGAAAATGCATAGTAAAAAAAGGGATTAGGTTAAAAGAATGACACAGCCCACCTGAACACGTGGGTTCTGAAAATCATCCATGGCAGCAGCTAGAGCTGGCAACACTCCCTGATGATATTGAACTTGCAAATCAGGACCCAAATCAGTAGACAGTTGTCCAATTGCATTGATGGCTGCCCACCTCACACGGGGATGTTGATCAGGAAAGGAGTTCAATACCATAGCCACCACTTGCTCCAAATTTTTTACCATGACCTACAAGAATAAGACATGTATAAATAAAAAAGCATACAACACAACAGCAGTAAATTTTGATTGTCTTCCTCAAAAGATAACAAAAAAACCTAATTCAACATATTGACTACCTTCGAGCATCCTTCAGCTATCTGAGCAAGAGCTACCAATGCAGCATGGCGTTTTTGCCACTCGGGTGCAGCCAAGTATGCAGGCAATTGTTCAGAGGCAACAGGAACGATCGTATTTCCTCCCAAAGATATAGATAACCTATCCAAACATTCTTGTCCAACACTATAATTGCTAGTTTCGCCCGCATCCTCATCTTCAGTCTCCGCCGTGTGCCAAGCTGGATCATCTTCAATATCCAGAAGCATCTTCATAAGAATAGCAAACAACCTGCTAATAAACTGTGGCATCTTCCTCATCATACCAGGAGCACGCTCCCTAGCTTCAGCAAGAGTAATCACAAACTCAATAGCCAAATGCCTAGTTCCTTCCTCCAAGGACTCTGCCTCTGCAATTTGAAGCATTGCCCCAACAACATCAACAATCTGCCTCCGGAGAAATCTAGGTTCAGTCCCAGCGAGTTCAATAAGCAACTCAAGAGCCTCCTGTGCGGTGGCCTCCTGACCGGAATTAAGCGCCTCAGTCAAAGTTGTCATCATAGCCGGCAGCAAGTCCTGAAACCTATCTCGGTCGGCGGAACCAGACAGACACTGAATGAAATTGATAACAGCATTAAGAGCAGCAATTCGAACATCGGCATTAACAGCAGAGGAAGTAAGACACTGAAGAAATATATCATGAAGGTGTTTGATATGCGGCGTGAGAGAATCACCGATGTACTGCGACAATTGAGCAAAAATCAAGAACGCAGATTCCTGAAGCTTAGGCGAATCAGAAGAAACGCACTGAAACATGAAAGGAAGCAATTCAGGCCAAGCGTTATCAGGCAAAATACTAGAAGCAAGTTCAGAGATTGTGTCACAAAGCTTCTTAGAAATCGATTTAGAGTTTTCAGTTTGAATTGAAGAAAGAAGAAGCGATTTAAGAGAAGAATGAGTTTGAGGCGAAAGACGCGGCCAAAGAAATGAATCATCGCGAGTGAGTTGCTTCCGGAGAAGAATAGCGGACATAGCACGGGCCTCTTGGTGAGGCGAAGAATGAAGAAGATGACCTAGCTTCAAAACGAGACCATCGGGATCGGTTTGTTTGCACAGGTTGAAGAGAGCTTCGGCCTGAGAACGTTCTTCATTCGAAGATGACATCAACTGTGAGATCAGGCTCTCGAACGGTGAAGGATCGGCGCCGAGAATCGCCGCGAGTTGAGAATGCTGCAACTGAGTTGACTCGGGATCCATGATGATTGGCGGCGATTGAGAGAGAGTGAAGAGAGAAAGAGAGAGGTTTAGTTTTTAGGGTTCCCTCTTTTGATCAATGATGAGGTAGTTATGACGGTGAGAAATTATAAATAACTCGTTACTTGGTTTGGTTCTATAGTCTAGTATGTCTCTTTTTATATACGCTATAGCGGGTTTTGGGATTATTGATGCGAGTAGTAGAATTTGGAATGATCAATGATGTTGCCTCGCTATGGGTTTGGTTTTCGGTGAAGAAAATTGGAAGAAAAATAAAAGCGGATTAGGGTTAACCTGGAGTGGGGCTAATTAGGGTAGTGCAAGTTGCGTGATGGACGATTTTTATTAGCTGTGTTTTGTTTTTGTAGGTCATGCATCATGATTAGGGTTACGCTTTCTCACTTTTCTTTTTCTTTTTTATAATTTTAATCGCACTAAAAAGTAAATTCAATTTACCTGTGAAGTTAAAATTTTATACTGGCTTAGAGATTTGGTTTTTGTTTTGGATTTACTGTAAGATAAATAAGGCCAAATATGTGACTAGATAACGACCTTGTCTATCTTATCTTCTTATGTACTCTTAATATAAACAACTAAATATATTACTAGTGTATAACAGTGTTATTATGTATAAGAGTACAATTTAATATAACCTAAAGATAACAAAATTAACGATTAAATCCAATAATACACCGCAAAAAACATACGCGAGATATATAGGTTTAAAAAACAAAATATTCTTTGGTCAATGAAAAAATATCCTTTGGTCAATTTAAAAAAACATTTCTTGTTATCCTTTGGTCAATTTAAAAAAACATTTCTTGTTATTATGCTTGTAAACAGTGCTAACACACAACCGATCAACAAAATAAAGTGTTAGCACATTTTTCAATAATTTTTTATTAGTTAAAATTTAAGTGAAATTTATATAAATTTGATGGGATCTATAACAATTTTAACAATAAAATAGTGTGTTATTAATACATTTTACAATGATTTTAGTTTTAGATGAAAATTGTAGGGGTTTTAAGTTCAACAATGACAGAAAGACTCTATTTAATAATATACTTTTGAGTATATAATTTATAGTTTATATGATAATAAAAGATTTTATTTAGTAATAGTCTTTTCATTTTGAATTGATAGTTTATTTTACTAGTTTATAGTTTATTTTTTAAATAGCATTTTAGTTTATCGTTTTTCCTTTCATTTTTATCTTTATCATTTTATCTAAAATACACTATTATCCTTTATAATTTATTTGAATTTAAAATAAAATAATTATATATTATATATTTTATGTCATATTGATTTATCAACTAATTAAACCGCTAGTTTTACCAAACACTTTAATTAACTTATCAATTATAAGTCATCAGACATCAGCTATAAGCTATCAGTCATTAGCCATCAGTCATCAGTCATAAACTATAAGCTATCAGCTAGCTTATCACCCAACACTTGTTTTTACTAAACAGAGTCATAATCTCTATCAATGTAATATATAAAAAATTAATTAGAAAAAGTAATCAAAAAATATGGTTTTGAGAATTTGGATAAAGTAATTTTTTGTCTTGCAAGAAAAAAAATATAATGATTGAGTCACTCTTTGGAGAAAAAAAACTATTATCCTATTTCATAAGAATTTTTAAAGTGGTGGCAAGTATGGTTATATGGCCGAAGTTGTGGTGGAAAGATAATAGTAAAACAAAACAATAATACTACCATATTTAGGTTTCAGTGAAGGTGGATTGTGTCTCAAGAAAATTCAATAATTAGTTTTTTTGTCCAAATGATTTTTGTCTTTAGCGAGAGGCGTTTCAGAGAACACTTATGAAGGGTTGTTTATGCCACAAACATGGTGCATTTGAGGAGAAAGTATGGTAATTTAGACGTGATGTGAGATATTAAGCGCTAGGTGTTTCCTCTTAGGATTTGTGTCATATTTAAGATTGTTTAGCTTTTAAGGGAAATAGAAAACTTCTTATGATTCATTGTTCTAAAAGTTTGGTAATTTTTGGAGGTTATCTAAAGGCCAAAAATACTTTTAACACATTAGTATTATGCAATTCATGTATTGATATGATTAGGAGTTAAGTTACAAATGCATAGATGATATGAAATGTTATTATGAATTTGTTGATCTAATTTCTTATAACTCAAGTTAATATTTTGTTAAGACTCTTGATTGGTGATGGATAAGAGAGTTGTTCTCTCCATTAAATATATCATTTTTATCTATCTGGATAAATAATTGTGTGTGTTCTTGTTCTTGTGGTTTTGTTTGTTGTAGTTGGTAGATTAATATTGTTTGAGATTGTTTATTTTTTTGTGATATTTTCTAATCTCTCCATCTCAAAATATGTAGTATTAAAGATCAATAAAAGCGACGATAAATAGGGTGTGTAACTCGAATATAATTTCTATTTTTTATTCTTTGATACTTGTTAAGATATGTTAAAGGTGCATAATGAATGTCAATGAAAAAGGAAACAAGTTATAAAGGAGATATGTAATCAATGAAATATGAATAATCAACCAACTACGAAATGGGTTAATGTTAGGGATTATCGTTTACTATAAATTATATTATATCCTTAATAACATGGCGATTATGATTTACTATAAAATATATCATATCTCTCGTAATAAACTATCTATAAATGAAAGGAATAAATGATAAGGGTTAGTTTGTTACAAAATTATATCATACCCTAAATGAAAAACTTATTAATGGGTGAATATTAAATATGAATCAAGAAAGGGGAAGCAATCTCCATTGTACATCCAAGAAAATAACTTTAAAATCATTAACGTGAATAATATAAGGAATATACGGCCTTCTAAAGAAATACTACTATAATAATTTCATTAATAGATTTAATTTTATTACTCGTCTCTCATTTGTGTTATAGAAAGAAGTAAGGTTAGTGAATAAAAATATGAAGTTTATTCAAAAGCAAAATTTTTATTATAAAAGTTATTTTATAATTTTTTTCTATGGATGGTCATGTTATCAACCATATCCTAAAAAGAAAGTTTGCAGCTAAATTAAGAAAATATATGGTTTTATTCTAATGGAAAAGTAATGTAATGTTAAAGATGTAGTTTCATTTTAAAGAGTTGGATAATGATAGAATATAATAGTGATATGATAGACACATAACGTATGATGTGTTTGGTGCACACATTATAAATTTTAGGCTTAATATTCTTTTTAGTCATGTATGTTAATATTGAGGTTTATTTTAGTCTTTTAACTTAAAAAATATTCATATTGATCTTTTAACTCTTCAAAATGTATCATATTAGTCATTTTCGTCAAATTGGCAACAGAAAAACTCATAAATTGATCATTGTATTTGTCGCTAATTTGACAAAAAAGACCAACATGATACGTTTCGATGATGTAATAGATCAATATGGACCTTTTTTAAATTAAGGGATTAAAATGAACACGTATGTTAATATACGGGACAAAAAAGGGTATTGAGGCTAAATTTTATTTTATTTTAAACTATTTCGGATTTTATAATATGACGTTAACAATATTATGAATAAAATATAGATAAAAATAACATGTGTTGGAACAAAATATGTCCACACTCTATTAGTTCATACTCCTTGGGGTTTTGTGATAACAAAAGTACTTAAAGAACAACAAGGTAAACTAATATTTAATTAAGTGTGCAAGATCATTAAACTTATAATTAATTAGGTTCTGACCCAGTTAAATAGCTTGTAAAGAAGAAGCAAGGAAATCTAGATTCTAATGGACAAGAGTCTGAATTTCAAATAAGACCTCAATGCCATATGATTTCAGCTTCTGATGTTCAAATATAACCTTAATTTCTACATGGATTTTTCTTCTAATCATTGAAACAGGACTTCAAGCATTATAATAGAACAATGTACAAAGCTCTTATATTCGTACTTTGAGCAAAAGCAACTTCATCTTGTCAACGGCTAGAATTATGGAGAAAGTAACCTAGAGGTTTTAACACAAGGCTCAATGTTAATTGATATGATTTCTTCAGTCTACTACTTCATGCCCATGGATGCTTTACTTGAGAAATACACTATGGATAAAGCAATTATTCAGAAGATGAAGATCCTCGTTGTACCAACTCCAATGTCTCTCTTTTGGAAATTGCTTCTTCAACAAAGACACTTGTGTAAGCAAGCTTCCAACGTCTCTTTTGTTCCCTCTATATAAGGAGCTAAAGATTCAAAAGAAGTAAAAAGAAATAATACAACAAGAACAACAATAGAAATCTGAATATTGCAAGAATTGTCTCATACTCTAAGTTACAACTTATAGTTGTTGTATTACACAAAGACTTAAGAGTTTCTTACACTTGTATATCTTAGAAATATCAAGTATCAAGGTATTTGCTTGTGTTATATTATTTGTACCTCTGATTAAATAGCAATTACATATTATTGTAATCCTAAATAGTTTGTTTAGAATTTGTAAAAGTCTCAAATTGAGTGTTTGAGCAAAGAAGTCTTAGGCTGAGTATCTGAGCAATGAAGTCCTGAATAATTGGTTTAGGTAAGGAAGTCTATTTCTAGTGTGATTGAGCAAGGAAGTCTTGAATAATAGTTTAGGCAAGGAAGTCTCTTTCTAGTGTGATTCAACCAGGAAGTTCTGGACTGTTGGTTTAGGCAAGAAGTCTTTTTCTGGTGAGATTAAGCAGGAAGTCTTGGACTGGTGTGTCTAAGCAAGTTATAATCAGGTTCTGGTTATAGTGAAAAGTTCTTCCATGGCAAGGGGAGTGGACTACTCTTGTTATAGAGGAACCACGATAATCTTTGTGTGTGATTTACTTATTGCTTATGCACTTTAAATATTCCGCTATTGCATACTCTAGCTTAAAATTTGAACTTGGTCAGATTCAAAAGTTGTTGTTTTGAAAAAGCATAAGTTATCAGATACATAAATCACCCCCTCTTATGTATTTTCTCACCTTCAGTTGGTATTAGAGCACGATATGTGCTTA